CATTTGATGAATAAGATTTTTTTTATTTTAATTTAATAATATTTTTAGAGGACAACTATACAAATTCTTAATGATCTGATAATAATGAGAAATATAATTTATTTAATATAAGATCCTCTAATTCTTCTTCATTAATAAAACTATCACAAAATTATTTGAATAATGTCTAATTTTTATATGTAATTTTTAATGTTTCCTTTGAAATTAATAAAATTGATAATGGTATTATGTAAAATCTTTTCTTCCATATATCTTCTCTTTATATATTTTCTACTCTAACACTTTATGCTACTTATTCATAATCAATAGGTATTTTGTAATTAATTAATGATTAATTCACTTCTGTTTTCATAAAAATAATACGATTTCTATAGATTTCCAAAATCATTAAACATAAATTTATAGTTATCGCTAATGGTAATTTATAAAAAATACAAATTAAACTTACACCTATGATCTTTATTAATATTTGCTCTAACTATTTTAATTTGATTGCAACTTTATTGTTAATAGTAATTTAATCATATGCAAATGGTATTAAAACAATCAAATAAACTTCATTGTTTAGACATATAGTTGAAGTCTAAAATATTTTAATCAAACAAATCAAACATAATAATTAATTTTACTGCATTTTTTTTATGTAAACAAGGGATATAATAAAAATAAGTATAAATATAGTGATTCTTATTATGTTGAGAATTTTGGTCTCATTGTTAAATATTAGTACTATAATTTCAACCAAAATTGCCATGATCATATATATATAATATTCCCAAATTATAGATAATTCATCCTAAATATTCATTTTTTTAATTGTTTTAGTTGTTTTCATTTCATCTACTCTCTCATTATTATTGAATCTAACTTTAATAGATGGTGTATCAATGGAATTATTTATTGATCTCATTTATTTTAAATATAAAATAAAATCAATATAAATAGGCAAAATCTGAATATTCTCAATTACATTTGTATACTAATTGTTTAAATATTCAAAGAAATTTATATTTGCTAAATATGATTAGATTTCTAATCGTAATTTTTCACTTTTAATCAATTATTACTCTGCAAATTTTGGAAATTGATGTAAGATAAAGTGTTATGAAATTCAATTTCACTCAAAAAAAGTTAAATTAGACATTTCAATTAATAATATAAAAAGAGGAAACATCCAGATATCTATTAATTGAACTATTTGTTAAAAATCAATCCAAATCATCTCCAAATTTGATGTTATTATAGTCATATGGATAAGCTCCTTTCTATGATCTACACTCTACAAAAAAAAGAATAATTTGTGATAACTATGATATAAATGGGTATATACATTATGAACTATTAAGTAGACAATAATAATCAAAAAAATATCACTATTTACAATTGAACTTAGATTAGAATAGAGATTTACAAATATATTTGACTATTCTAACCAATAAAACTAAGAATTATTACTTACAATTTACATCATCAGATATCATATAATGTCCTAATAATTGCAATAAAAATGGATAATGCATTGTAAAATTCTTATTATATAAAATAAGCATGGTTAATGTTAATGTAAGAAAGGATTCTTAGATGATGATTGTTCTCAAACAGCTAAATTATTTTTACCATTTAAAATGTAGAACATTTAGATATCAAACTAATAATATATATATACAATGTTAAATACAACTTCTAATTATAGTTTAAGTTTAGCTTTTGAATCAACTAATATTAATAAATCGAAAATAAATATACAAATGTTAGTTTCATAAAGATATAATCTACCATGTGATATTAACAATAATTATAATCATACTGTCTAGGATTAGAAAAGAGTAGAAATTAAACTATTATAAGAATCATATTTGGAGAATAATTTTAGTTAATAATCTCATTAAAATTTATTGATCATCAAATTATCATCTGAAGAAGATATTAATTATAAAATATAATTAGATTTTTAAATACATTATAGATAAGATAAAGAAGAAATAGGAACTATTATATTAATTACTACTTTAACATTAATTATTATATTTTCTTTAATTTTAATATTTTGGTATTGTTTTAAGAAATAAAAAGGAAATTCTTCAAATAACTAATAATTTAAGATTCCAGTATTAATTGATCTTGATTTGAATCCTTAATGTTCAATTTGTTTAGAAGATTTTATAAAAACTGAAGAATAATTATAATAATAAGTTAAAACAGATTGTTTACATATATTTCATAAAGAATGCTTGAATCATTGGAGGAAACATCGAAATATTTGTCCAATTTGTAGAAAATCATTCATATGATATACTTAATTTGTGAATATTATAAATGACAATATATTAGGTTTATAAGGTTGAATCTTAAAATAACTATTTTGTTTTAATATTTATTTTATTTACTATAATCAATATATATAATGTGTATTATAATTAATTTATATTATTCACACAATGGCTACTCGTTCATTGGTTCCAACATTTATTATGAAAACATTTGAAATGCTAGAAGTATATGTCACATAAAGTATTAGGATCAAACAATATCTCATATTGTTTCTTGGACTGAAGAAGGATTAAGTTTTGTTGTGAAAAGCCAAAAGTTATTATAATAATAGGTTCTGCCATAATATTTTAAACATAGAAATTATTCTAGTTTTCTAAGGTAAACTTAAAGAATAATTTACTAGATAATTGAATTTATATAATTTTAAAAAGAGTAAACATTAAGATGGATAAGAGTTTAAACATAAATGTTTTAGAAAAGGAGTTAAGTAATATATATAAGTATATAATTAATAGATAGATGTTATAATTCATAAAGAGAAGAAATAATGATGATGGAAATTAAGAATCTGTTAATCCTAATCAACCATGTATTTCATATGATTATTATTTTGATTAGCTGCTAAATTGAAAGAGGAGTAAAATATTTTAAGAGTGTGTGCATCTGATATTAAAGATACAAATACAAGATTAGATGAGGATATGTAAATATTGAAATAAAAGAGTGGTGTACTTTTAGAAGAAATGTGGAATCTTAAAAAGGTAATAATACTCAATTATATAATAGTTATTACATAGTCAATTTGATTAAGTGAATCATAAATTAGAAAGGATAGATATAATTATAGGAGCAATGTCATAACATAAAAAATTTAAAAGTAATTAATATTATTAATAATAATAATAGATATCTCTTAATATTTCACTACTAAATTTTTACAGAATGAACTTCATACTCTAGAAACCAACTTAAATTAACCACTCTTTGAATCACCAAAATAAGAAGTTGATGATTAGGAATAAATCAAAGCATTATTTGAAGAATTATAAAATATTAGTAAACCAATTCAATTTGATTGAACATTTTGTTTAATTAAATATATATATTTTAATCTAAAATTATAAATATATATTTTTATTGTTACCATTTAATGAAAGTTTTTCTAAAAAATATATGTATAATGAATGATATTGTTCATTTACATAAAATTTATATCATTTAAAATAACAAGTTAAATAATGAATTACTTATTTATATATTATATATTGATTTATTTATATTAACTAGAATAATGTAAATAAATAAAACGTGGGTAGTAATTGCATGTATATCATTTAATATAGGATCCATTTCATATGCATTTGTTTCAAATTCTATGAACAATGCTTTAAAAACTTTATATATAGTTTTTGAAATAAGTAAAGATAACCAAAGTTTTTTTGCAGGAGCTTTAACTAGCTCTTCATATGTTGGAGCCTTCTTTGGAGCAATCTTAACTACTTTCATAAAGAAATATCATACAGGAATTTTAATAGCAGACATATGCTTATTTGTGGGAAGTTCATTATTGATTTTTTCAGATATCTATACATTTTTTATTGGAAGATTAATAGCAGGAGTAGGTTGTGGAATTTGTGCAGTTTGTTAGCCTGTATTTATAAGACAATTTTCACCTACGTCAATGTATTCATCTATGGGTGGAATATTATCAACAGTTTTTTCTTTTGGATACTTTTTAACAATGCTTTATGGAGTATGGTTTCCTACAACAGATAATATTACATCTCCTGATTAATTAAACCAATATTTTTGGAGAATATATTTTTTTGTTGGTGGAATACCAAGTTTAATTAGGATTATTGTTATGAAAACTATATATAATTTCTAGACTCCTATCTTTTATATACAAAATAATTAAGATGACAAAGCATTAACAGTATTGAAAAAGATATATCAAAGTTCGAATTATTAAGAATTATTAGAAAATATTAGGGAATAATCATAAACATAAAATAAATAAGTTGAATTGGGAGTGACAATCAGAAAACATAAGAAATAATTCTAATTTGGATTATTTTTAATGTTCATATTCTAATTTTGTGGATTCAATGCTGTAGTACAATATTCTACATAAATTTTTAATGATTCATAAACTTAAAAGACTGCTTAGTTTTTATCATTTTTGATTTCAGTACTAAAATGGATATTGTATAGTTTTGCTGGGACAATTACTCTCAAATATTATGGTAGGAGGAAACCTTTATTGGCAGGACTCACATTAATGTTAATTGCCAATTTTGGAATCTTCTTATTTTCTTATTTAAATAATGATGACATGATAATTGTGTTCATCTTTGTATTTGTATTTGCTAATTTCAGTTCGACTGGTCCTATTGTACCTGTCTATATGCCTGAATTTGTTCCTTAACAATTAATTTCATATTGCTATTATACTTTTTGGTTCTATTCAATCATTATTTTATTGGTTTTTCCAATCGCCATGTACACTTAAGTAATTTATTAAGCAAAAATCTGGGTATGGAGAATTGTTTCCTGTTTTTCGCTGTCATCACTTTATTAGGTGTTGTGATATTTTATAAGTATGGTGTTGAGACAATGAACAAGACTAATTAGGAAATATATTAATTATTTAAAAAGAATGTCACAGACTCCCTGGTTTAAATGATTTAGTGATACAAGAAAAAATATTTTATTAAATTAAATAACTGATGATGCAGAAGAAGCTTACTTAGACAAATAGACAAGCTAAAACATAAGAATTCGTATACCTCTCTCATAAATTAGACTCCATCCTAATTGATTTAGAAACAGTTATCAGGATAGATTTTTGAAGATGCACATCCAAAAATCAAAATCATTGAATTTTAAAATCTTGCTGACTTCTCCTCTCAACCAGTGAGTAGTGTCCCTATTGATGAACCGCTCTTTGATCCAATTCCACCAATTATACAATTTACAGACTATGAGGTACAATTTCCTCTTTTAAAGCAAACAAGCCATTACAAATTAAGGAGAAGATTTTCAAGTTGCGTAATAAAGATCGTGTAGCTAGAAGGGTTAAAATATACAAACCTGACTCTCGACTATTTTAAGTTGTGCCTTAAGGTACTAATGGAAAAGATGCAGGAACAGGAACTAAAGTATTTATTTTATGATTATTCTCAAAATAGGTAGCACCAGGTATGGAAACAAATTTTATTATTCGTTTTTCCCCTGAATCAAAATCAGATTATAATTATGATGTTATAGTTGAAACAGAAAGAGAGAAATTTGTTGTACCAATTGTTGCTGTTGGCAAAAGAGCCATGATAGGTATGAAATTATTTTGATTTCTTAGATTTTCCTGATTCTCTTGATTTTGGTAATTGTCCTGTTAAATACACTACCGAAAAACCAGTTATTATTAGAAATTTAGGAGAGAAGACCACTAAATGGTTCTTGAAATTACCCTTAGGTTTTGATGCAGATAAGAGGGAAGGTGTCTTGGAATATGGCAAGAATGAGTAAATTGTCATCAAGTAATTATCTTTATTAATTATACCAACAGATTCTTTCCAACAGAAGCTAGATCTTATAAGAATAAGGCTATTTTATAGTACGATAATATGGAAGCTTATGTTCCCATCATTGGGGTTGCACATAATGGAAATGTTTATCTATCTAAAAGTTAGATCAATATGACTGAGGCATTTATTGGTCTCCAATTACAATAGACATTATAAATTATCAATAAATCTAATGTTAAAGTAGATTTTGAATGGAGAGCTTTTGCAACAGAAAAAGAGGAATAAGAAAAAAAGAATAGATTGAGAAATCAATTAGAAGAAGAAGAAGCTGAAGAGAGAATGCTAATAAAAGAATTAGTGTCAAATGAAGGAGTACATGAAGAATTAGAATTGGAAGAAGATGAGGATAGTGAAGAGGAAGAAAGAGATGAAAAAGCTATTATTTTAAAGAGATAAAAGAAGGCTGAATTATAATTGGCAAGGAAATATAGAAATATTCGTAAAGCTATTGAAGATGATTTACTTCTCTTTATTGATGATATATTTACTATTGAACCTACATAAGGATAAATATGGCCCAATTCTGAAATGACAGTTACAGTTACATTTGTTCCTAGAAGTGCATTTCTATATTAAACTGTGGCTTATTGTAATATATCATGTTCAGAAGAAAGACTACCATTAAATTTATATGGACAAGGTATGGGTCCAAGAGCATTTTTAAGTGTTTATGAAGTGAATTTAGGAGATGTGTTTGTTAATGAAATTCATAAGACTGAAGTTGTAATAGAAAATAGAGGAGAAATAGAATGTAAATTTGAATTGATGCCAAATGAAAGAGCATTTGGAAAGATGTTTAAATTTGATGTTGAAAGAGGAGTATTAGCAGTTGGTTAAAGAATGCCATTTACTATTACATTTAAATCTAGTATACCAGGAGAATTTAAAGAAACTTTTAGATGGAAATTAGAAGGATCAACAGATTAATTAACAATATTATTTATTGGACATGTGATTGCTCCTACATTTAATTTTTAAGATGAGAAAATTTAATTTGGTACTGTGAGTTATTCATTCGAATAAACAAAGAGTATTAGAATGACTAACACATCTACAGTTGCATTTACATATGAACTTAAAATACCTGGTGATGGTAAATTAGCTGAAAGAGAATTTGAAATTGAACCTAGAAGAAATACAATCTAACCTAAAAATTTTGATGTAATAAAAGTAACTTTTATTCCTAAATAAATTAAAACTTATGAATAAGTTATGGTTGTAGATATTGAAGGAGTTGGATAAGATATGTTATCTATACCAATTACAGCTGATTGTTAAGCTCCAAGAGTAGAATTAAGACCAAGTGATAGATTGAATTTTAATAAAGGAGATGATTAAAAAGTATTCTTAAGAAATCCATGTAAATCAAGAGTTGATTTAATTAATACATCTGAATTACCAGCTAAATTTGTTGTTTTACCATAAAATGATGAATATAAGGTATTAGCAGATTATACAGTGGAACCATCTAGTGGTAAGATTAATGGTAATTCAACTATGTCTTTGGAAGTGACATTGACAACAAAGAAATTATATGATATTACATTACCTTTACAAATAAATATAGTTGGTACTAATAATGGATAACCTCATGTAATAACAATTGTAGCATTTTCAGAAGGACCTAAAGTAAAAACATCAAAAACAGAATTAGATTTTGGAAATGTTGATGTATTAAAAGATTATTCTCTAAAATTGACATTAACTAATGATAGTGATATTGAAGCTGATTTTCATGCCTTTACAAAAAATAAAATTTCAATATTTAAACCAATATAAAAACATGGTATTATAAAACCAAAAGAGAGTTGTGAAATTGAAGTACTTTGTAGTGCAGATGATGCTGTTAAGGTTACTGATGTTCTTCATTTTGTAATTAAAGAAGGTGATGATGTAGAAGTATAATTAAAAGCAAGAGGAGTTGGTTCAACAATATTTTGTAAAGATGATTTATCATCTGTTAATATGGGAGTAAATTATACTCATAGAAAAGTTACAAAAGAAATTTTTGTAGAAAATAAAGGTAGAAAACCATAAAAATTATAATGGACTTAAAAGAAACCTCAATAGAAAAAAGAAGAATAAGATTAAAAAAATAATAAAGCTCCACCTCCACCAGAAGAAGAATCAGTATTCTCTATTGCTCCTGATACAATTGTTTTACCACCTAAACATGGTATTATGTTTTAATTTAGAGGATATTCATAAAAGAAGGGAAAGATTTCTGAAATATTTATGTTACATTCTACTATAGGTACTGAAAGGAAAGCAAATCTATTATTTCCAACAACAATTGAAGGTGATTTTATTTAACCAACTTTGTAATTTTCAGAAAAGAAACTATTTTTTAAATATTCTTGGGAGAAAAATGTTCCATTTATGCCTATTTCTAAGAATCTTGAAATAACTTGTGCTTGTCCTTTACCTGTAAATTTTGATTTAAAGTGTTAATAACCATTCACAGTGAATTAAGATAAATTATAATTGAATCCAGGTAAAAGTGCAGTTGTTAGAATTGATTTTGATCCTGCTTTTAAATCTGATCGTAAATCTGGTGATTTAGAAGGAAAACTATAATTATCTCATTATGAACATCCACATAAAGATTTGATTGATTTAATTGGTTAAGTTCATTTTCCAAATTTAATTATGGAAACAAATCTTATTAATTTTGGTTCTATTTTATATGATACAACAAAGAAAATGGTAATGACAATGAAAAATTAAAGTGAAATGGCATTAAATTATGAATGGACTTTTGTAAGTGAAGAATTATCTACTTAAGGTCAATAACCAAATATTCCAATTAATGAAATATTTGATATCTTACCATTAAGTGGTTATATGGAACCTGGATCAGAAGAATAAGTTGAATTTGTTTATAATGCAATTGGAGGATAAAGATTTAAAACTACTGCTGTCTGTCATGTTGATGGTGGTCCAGAATATGAAGTAACTTTAGTTGGAGATAGTAGTTTATTATCTTCTAAAATGAGCACAACATTAATTGAATTAGGAGATGTTAGATTTTGTGAATGGGTTTCTAGAGAATTTACAATTGAAAATACAGGAAAAGTTACATTTGAATTTAAGATTGATTTAAGACACATAAAGAAAAAGGGATTTGTAGATGTATAACCATAAAATGGAAAGATTACAGGAGGAGAGAAACTTAGAATAACAGTAAGAGTTTCACCTGTAATACCTGCAGAATTCAAAGAAATTATATTAGTATAAATAGGATATTATGAACCAGAACCAATTACTATTATTGGAAGAGGTGTATATCCATCAATGGTTGTATAATTGCCAAGATCTGAAAATCCATTATTTTAATAAAAATTTGATGTTGAGATTGCAAAGAAGAAGGCTGATTTAGAAAATTAGATTAAGAGAGCTTAATTATTAGCTAAGACATCAAATTAAAAAGTTTAAGTGAAGACATTAGAATAAGTATAATTGGAAGTAGAGAGAGATATAGATAGGTTTGTATTTTGTGAATAAATAAAGAGGACTGTATTAGATAAATAGGATGAGAGAACACATTCAAGAGATCAAAAAGAAAAGTTTTATGATAATGTAATATTGGCTACTTATATTTGTGATTTTGGAAATGTTGTACTTAATTCAATAAGATAAAAAACAATAACTATCAATAATCCAGGCACTTTACCAGTAGAATTTGTTTTAGATGGTAAATACTTTAAACCTTAAGGATATAATATTGTACCTGAAAGAGTTTTGAATTTACCTAGTGGTGCTAATATCACTTTGAATATATAATATTAAACTAAAAAGAATATGGGTTTTGGACCTACTAAAACTGTTGTGCCTATTGAATTGAAGAAGGGTCCAAAGTTTCATCTAGAATTAGTGGCCAATATTACAATACCTTAAATTGTAATAGAGAATTCAGCTGATGGATAAATTGATTTTGGTAAAGTTTTGATTGGGTAAAAGAAGATTATCTTCTTAAGATTTGTTAATGATAAAGAAATAGATTGTGAATGGTCATAATCAACTAGATAAGAATTGACAGCTGATAAAAAAGAAGAACCTAGATTTGTTTTAGTGCCAAATAGTGGTATTATTAAATCAGGTGATAAATAATTAGTTGAAGCTCATTTCACTCCATTAGTTGAAAGAAATTATTCATAAAAATTCACTCTAAATATTAAAGAAAATGCAACACCTTATATATTAAATCTAAAAGGAATTGGTACAAGTATCAATTTATAATTCAATCCTTAATTGATAAATATTGGACCAATTTTACCATATGATAAATTTGCACATTCTGTATTAGAAATAAAGAATCCCACAGAATTTGACACTGAAATATTCTCATTAGATTTTGATACCCAATATATTTAGGATGATGAAATTGTTAACAGTTATCCATAATTAGAACATACAGATTTTATATTAATGCCTGTAAGATAACCAGGATAACCAATATGGTTAGATTTTTAAAAAGCATTTACAAGAAGTAAAAGAAAAGATCAAATTTTAAATAAATTGTAAGATCCAAATGTTGAAAATAAAGAATAATTATAAAAAGAATTAGATGATATTGTAATATAGGAAACAATGATAAAAGTTGAATATCCTAAGAAGGTAAGTGAAGATGTATTGAAAAATATTGTTATCATTGGACCTCCTAAATGTGGAAAGACTCATTTAGCCAATTATTTGGAATAAACACATAGAAGAAAAGTTATTAATATGAATGAATTAGTTTAATGGAATCAAGAAAATTAAACTTAAGCATATTAATAATTAGAGTAATATATGTAATAAAGATAAAATGAAATTTAATTTGTATAATAAGAAAGAGAAAAATTATTAAAAAAAGCAGGAAAGAAATCTAAAGATCTTGAAGATAAGTGGGGACCAATACCATTACATTTATATGAATATTTAAGTGAAGAGATAATTGTAAAATTATTAAAAGCAAGATTGTCTCATGAAGATTGTGGTGCTGGTGCTATTTTTGATAATTTATAATCTAAATATTGGCCTAATGAATTATATTTGATGAAATGTATAATGGAAATTGATTCTCATTTATAAGTAGTTGTATTAAAAGAGTAATATGATTAATATGGTTTTGAAATCTAAAAATTGATTGAATGGCCAGGAATGGAAAAATTGGCAGAAGAAGATAAACCTAAAAAAGAAGAAATAGTTGATCCTATTCCAACATCAAAAGATAAAAATAATAAAACTTAAACTAAGAGAGGAAAGGATTAATCTTAGAGTGTTACTAAGAAACAAGAAAAACCATAAATTTCATAATTATAATTATAATAATAATAATCAAGATAAAAATCAAGACCAAAATCATAACCTAAATCAGCTGGAAATTTAATAGAATAAAATTATTATGATGTATTTTATCCTGCTAGTTTTGAAGATGAAATATAGAGATAGAATTTTAATGAATTAATTACAAAAGTTAAAGCTTTAATAGAAAATAAATATCATGATAAAATAGAAATAGCTAATAAAATACATGATCCTGTATTTGATGAAGGAAAGAAAGAAGAGAAACCTTAAAAACCAGCAAAGAAAGGTGATAAACCACCTGAACCAGAAGAACCAAAAGTAGAAATAATAGATTATACATATCTTTAAAAAGGAGAAAGATAATTTAGTGAAATTCCTTTCCATTACAATTTACCATAATTATGTTAAACAGGATTATAAGTAATACCAGCTCCAATTTATCCAAATCCAAATTCTTTACCAATTCCTGATCCAATTTATCATTAAATTGTTATGAAGAAGAAAGATAATTTAAATTAATCTATTCAAACAGGTAGAAAGAAGACAGATACAAAAGAATCATCAATACATTAATCAAATGCAACCCTTACATAAACACTTAAATATTTCAACATTCTTACACCTAAAGATATGTATGTTAAAGATATTAAAATGTAATCATAATAAAAGACAGAACATATTGATGAAGACAAAATTAATCTTTAAGAAGAATAAAATAAACATTTAGAGGATATCAATTCACCAAGTAGGGAATAACTTTAACATCCTGATTAATTGAATAAACCAATCACTCCATCTGTTAAAGCAAGAGCTAATGTTACTTCTAGATCAATTGCTAATGTAAGTAAGAGATCATAATAATAAAAAAATGCTGAATCATCTTAAGCAAATGATTAAAAATATAATTATAAACTTGAAGATTTGATTTAAAAATAATATAGATGGACTATACCTGCTGGTAGAACATTAATATTAGTTATTCAATTCTTTACTAAACATACTGGTTCATTTGAAGGCAGATTAAATTTTGATAATTTCTTTTCTATCAAGAAATCAGCTGCTGAAGTCAAAGGAGTTGCTGATTATCCATCTTTAAGTGGATTACCTAAATAATTATTTTGGACTGTAAAGAAATCTAGACCTTTAAATGCACCTGATTCATACTTAAGCAAAGTATATGTTTAGAATGAGTAATCCTTTGATTTTGGACCATTATTAATTGGAAAATCAGATAAAGTAGCTAATCGTGCAATTAATAGTACAACATTTAGATTATCTAATTCTGGTAAATTTGATACAGAATTATAATTTTCCTTATTATCAAGTATTCAAGAAAATAAAGAAATTTAAAAAGGAGTTTTTACATTAGATTTAGATAATTCTAAAATTTAATTAAATAGTGTTCCATTAGAATTAAGAGTTTGGGCATTTCCAGATAAACCTTAAAAATTCAGAGATGATTTGATTGTCTAGATTAAAGATAATCCATTACCACTTATTATTCCTATGGTATGTATTGGTTGTAGACCAACAATTGATTTAATTAATCCTGATGTAAAATTTGAAAGATTATTAATTTCTTAATCTGATTCTAGAACAGTAACTATAAAGAATACAGGTATGATAAATGCAAAGTGGAAATTAACAGGAATAGAATAATTAGAAGAAGAATTTTAAGTTATTAATACATCAGGTGAATTAGCTCCTACAATGGAAGCTAAGATTGAAATAAGATTTAGAGCTATAAAGGAAAGAAAATTAAATCTAAAAATAACTCTTGAAGTAGAAGATGTTGAGAATATGAATATAAAATAAGATCCTAAGATTATAAATGTTGATGCTGAAGCATTTTAAATTTAAGTTGATATTAAATATCCAACACCAGAGAATATATTAGATTTTGGTAGTGTAAAAGTAGGTGATTTTAAAGATTAAGTATTGTAAGTTAAGAATATTGGTTAATATTTGGTTAAAATTAAGTGTTTAATTAAAAAGAAACTCTTCCCTCAATTATTTTAATTAGAACCTATGGAAACTGATCTAAATCCTGGATAATAAAAAGATATCTTAATAAGATTTTGTGGTGTTAAAGAGATAAAAATGAAAACTACAAATGATACTACTGATTTATATTTAGAGATCTTAGAAGGTAAAACATAAGAAATTTATAAACCTGTTCCTATTAATGTATAATTCAATAGTGTTTATTCAAAATATTCAATTAATCCATTAAAAAATATAAATTTTGGACCTATTTAATTTAATGAATCTAAAGTAAGACATTTAGAAATCAAAAATGAAGGATAATTTGAATTCAATTTCACAATATTTGATTATGCAAATGAAGAATTTAGAAAATAATTGTTAGATTAATAAAATAAAGAAGCTTAAGAAAAAAAGGAATTAATGAAAGCTATGCCATCTTCATTAGCACCTGTAGATCCTAAGAAAGGACCAAAGAAAGATGATAAAAAATAAGAAAAAAAATAAGCAAAACCAGGTAAAAATGATCCACCTCCTGGATAATTGAAAATTGGTTAATGGACAATTATGCCTAGTATTGGTACAATAGCACCAGATTCTTCTTGTACAGTAGAAATTACATTTGCAGGATAAGGTTAAAAAAATTATGAATAAAAATTGGCAATAGATATTATTAATCGTAATCCAGAAGATTAACCAAATGGAATTGAATATGAAGTATTAAGTGAAAGTTGTATTCCAGGTATTAGTACAACTACATATGAATCTATTTTTGAAGAACAAGTTGTATTGTAATCTTAAGTTAATAATCTATCAAATTTGATTAATTCAAATGTTTTCTTTATAGAAGAAAAAGTATTTAGTTTTGGAACATTGGTACCATCTAAAGTTCCTGATGGAGTAGTTGAAAGATTTAAACTTACAAATCCTAATAAGATTCCATGTAGTGTTAAATTAGATGCAAGAAGAAGATAAAATTATCCTAATGATAATTTTGCATTTGAAGTTTTTCCAAAATAAGTTAAAATTGCACCACATGAGAGTGTTTATATTAAGGTTGCTTTTAAACCTACTATAATGGCACAATATTATGGTATTTTTGAAGCCATTGTTGAGAATGGAGAACAAAGTCCTAAGACTCATAAATTATTATTTGATTTAAGAGGAGAAGGAGCCTTACCAACATTGAAATTGGAAAAACCTAAAGATTGGTTAGATGAAAGAACACCTGTTGTTAAATTTGGCAGAGTTAGATTAGGCAAGACTTTAACAATGCCAATTGTATTAAAAAATGATGGATAGATTCCAGCTACAGTTAAATGGGATTTAACAGCAGTTAATGAACATTTTAGATTTTTAGATCAAAATACATTTTCATTAACTCCAAAAACAACTGCTACTTTTAATATTGAATTCACTCCAAAAGATGTTGGAATTAAGTAACATTATTTTGTAATGTAAACTCTATTAAATCCTTATGAAATAACTAAAGTAGCAGTAACAGGAGAAGCATTTTAAGAAGATATTGTATTTGAAAATTTGGATGATGAAGTTCAATTTGGTGATTGCATTATTAATACAGAAAAGAAAATATAGTTTTTCCTTAAAAATAATGGATCTAATACAATTAGATTTTAATGGAATACTTAAGGATGTGAAGATTTTTCCTTTATTCCTAGACAAGGTCATTTGAATACCAAAGAATCAAAGCCCATTACATTAATATTTAAATCTAATCGAAGTATAGTACATAAATCATTTGCCTTATAATGTGATACTAAACAAATTAATAAGAAAACTCAATCAGAATGGGATGATAGTATGGCAACTACAAAATATGTGACCTTAACTGAATATAATTGGTTAATAAAGAGAAGAGAGGAAGAAGAGGCAAAGAGATTGGCTGAAGAAGCTGCCAACAAAAAGGGAGCCAAAAAAGTAGATAAGAAAGCTGCAAAGTAAGAAATCATCCAACCTCCTTAACCTGAACCTGGAGAAGAAGCAAACATTCCTATATCAGATCCATTACCTGAACCTGAATATCAGGTTATAGATAAGAGTGATAAGAGTATGCCAATGAAAGTGAATGCAATTGCTGATTTTGCTAAATATGAAATCGATTAGAGAAGTGTTTACTTTAAAGAAACTCTAATGTACACAACTAGGGTTCATTAATTAAAATTAAAGAACACTTCTTTGATAGCAATAAATTATAATTGTAAGATAGTATCAGCAGAGACTGGTGCTATAGACCCTGGGTATTTTTATGTGTATCCAAAGTAAGGTAAGATTGCTAGCAATAGTGATGAGATGTTTACTATTAAATTTAGTCCTACAGAAGTAGATGAATCAAATGAGAGGTTATTAGTCATTTCAATAGATAATTTGGATCCAAATTAAGATAAATTAATAGTTGAATTAGATGGGTAAGCAGAAAGACCTATATGTCATTTTGAATTGCCACCTAGTAATTATAGAGATAAGAAACCAGATTTGGAAGCAAAGTATAATGTAATAGAATTTGAGAGTTTGGGATGCAAAGTTAAAAATACAAAGAGATTTTATGTTGTGAATCCAACTTCAGTTGGTTATGAATATGAATGGAAAAGAATTGATGATGAAAAGAATCAGAATGCAAATTACTTTAAATGTATCACTATAAAAGGTGTTGTATTATCTGGAAAGAAATCTGAAATAATTTTTGAATATTCACCAGATACATAAGGATAACATGAAAGTTATTGGGTATTTGAAATTCCATAAGAACATATTACTTAATATTTCCTTATAACTGGAAGTGTTGTTGAGCCTAATGTTATATTTAATGTTGGTAAGGTTAATTTTGGTCCATTATTGGTTTAAGGAAAAAATAAGGAAACAGTTATTCTTAAGAATTTAGAAGATGTCCCATTAACATTTTAATTTGATAAGGAATCTTTCCACAATCCAGAATTTGGTGATTCACTTACTATAACTCCAGTTCAAGGAACAATTAAGGCACTTGGAGATTAGCCTATTGAAATTTAATTTGCACCAAAAGTTGAAAGAGAATATAATTATAATTTATTATGTAATGTGAAGAGAAGATAAAGACCAGTAACTTTGAATGTTAAAGGAATAGGATATATTTTACATAATAATGTATATTTGAATGGTGTAGCAGTTACTTAATAAAATACAGTTGTAGAATTAGGAGATTTGTATATAAATGAGAAATCCAGTAAATAAATTACAGTAGAAAATTAGGGAGACTTTAATTTCGATTTCAGTGTTAGAAAATCAGCATAATTATCTAATATTGTGATTATCAACCCAGAGAATGGTACAGTAAAGAAGAATGAGAAATTTAATATTGAGATTAGATATTAACCAACAGCACCTTAGAAATTGAATTAACAATTTTCATTATGTATTTCAAGTGGTCCTACTTATAATTTCTAATTAATTGGATCTGCAAAAAAACCAGCAGTAGAATTTTCATTTTTATAATATGATTTTGGTCCATGTTTTGTATTAAGATAACCATTACCAATCACTAAAAATTTGGAATTAAGAAATAGAGATGTTTAAGCTATGGCAATAGAAGCTTTGTATGAAAAGAAACCTTATTTTGGAGTACAATTACCATCAGGTTAAGTATTATTACCAATTCAAATAGAAACACATAAAGACAAGAAGGGAATTATATAAACAAAAGAATTAAATGTTTTGTAGATTCCAATTACTTTTACTCCAAGAGAATTGATTAAATATGATGAAAGTGTGATCTTTGATATAAATGGATTATAAAAAGTAGAAGTAAGATTTACAGGGGAAGGTGTTCCTTTGAAATTAGATTTATTAAAAACTGAATATTAATTTGTAGATTTTGGAATATATGGTATAGGATAGATAGGAACTGAAGTTGTTTCTTTAGTGAATAATTCATAAAAGATGGTGACTTTAATTTTTGAATAAGATTTATTAAAAGAATTAAAATAAAAATATTTCATTAAGGTTAGACCTAAGAAAGAGTTTGTAATTAATCCAAGAGAGAGAAAAGAAATTACTTTAACTTTTAAGCCATAATAGAGATTACATTCTTTCAAGACTGATTTATTCTTTAAGATAGTTGAAAATAATGAAGTGAGAAAACTATTAACAGTATAAGGAGCTTGTCATGGAATAGAATTAAAATTGATGGAGGATACTATAGGATTTGGTGGAGTTGTTATTAATTCAAGACTTACAAAAAATGTATAATTAAGTAATTTGGGAGATGTTGCTGCTAAATTCTAATGGGATACTTCATTTTGTAAAAATTATTTCACTATTACTCCATTATCAGGAACATTACCAGCACATGAAGATTTATAATTTTAAATTACATTCCATCCAAATGCTATTGATAATGATATTAGATTTGATAAGGTGAAATGTTTAATCTAAAATTCAGATCCATTATATTTAAATTTATTAGGCAAATGTATAGAATAACCAAAAGAATAAATCTAAGAAGTTAAATTTGAAACTGTTGTAAGAGTACCAACTTCTAAAAAAGTTGTTGTCAAAAATCCAACACCAAAACCATGGAAAGTCAAAGCTTCTGTATCAGCTTTATTACCTTAATTTAAAGATTATTTTGAAGGTAAAGAATATGTAGAAGTTCCAGCTAATGGATAAGCTGAATATGAAGTCATTTATAAACCTTTAACTATGACATCTAATCCTTAAATACAAAATTTACAAGATCAACATGAAGGATCACTCTTTTTCCCATTACCTGATGGATAGGCACTTCTCTATAATCTATTTGGTAAGAGTTTGCCACCATTACCATAAACTGTTGATACAACAATGAAAGCTAAAAAGAATACAACCTAAGTATTGTAAGTGAAAAACTGGTTGAAAACTAGTCAAAGATTTGAAGTCTCATGGACATTAGAACCTGAAGATCCTTCTATTATTCTTAATGGAGCCAATACTTTTGAAGTATCTAGTGAAGGTACTAAGGAATATAAACTAACTATTTATGGACTTAAATAATCATAAAATAAAGTGACAGTCTATTTTAGAAATGCTATCACATAAGAATTTGTATTCTTTAAAATAGTATATATTAATATTTATATTTTTAGAATCTAAGTATTCAACCACCTGATTAATTACCTAAAATTGAATTGGCATCTATAGTTAGGGAAGTTGCTACAAAGTTGATTACTATTGAAAATCCAATCAATTAACCTGTTGAATTTAAGAAAGATTAACTTATAGCTGAAACAGATAGTATCTCATTTAATCCTTAATAATTTGTAATCCCACCTAAATCTGAATTTGGTCTTGAAATAGCATATAGACCTTTAATAGTATAAGATATTCAATCAAAAATAACAATTAAATCTATTTAATTAGGAGAATTTGTCTATCCTCTTAAATTATAGGGATTACAATAGAATGTTTCAAGATCACTCTATTTCAAAGCTTCTTTGGGAACTGAAATGGTTTTGCCATTTAAATTTATGAATTACACCAAGAAACCTACTATGTATACATGTTATGCAACAAAATTGGGTCCAAATGGAAAACCTCTTCCTGTGAACATAGATCCAAAAGCTAAAGGTGCACCTGCCTAGACAACAGATTTTATTTGTGAATAAGTCCAATTTTAAGCACCTTAATCAGAATCATTTGATGGTGTTGAATGTTAGATAAGTGTAAAGTATGAACCTAGCAGTTTAAATGAAAGTAGAGGTATTTTAGTAGTAACATCACCTGATGGTGGAGGTAAATATAATATTTTTATTTTAAAGAATATCAATGTCTATTGATAGGATAAGGAATTACTCCATAACCTAAAGGTCCATATAAATTATCAGGTGCTAAACCACCTGCTATTGAATTTAAGAATCCCTTCTTTGAGGCTTAAGAGTTCACTTTGAGAATTGACAATCCTGCATTTACTTCTTCAGTTAAGTCCCCTATCAAAGTTGATGTAAGAATAATATTTAGAATTTTTAGGGTAAAAAAGTATTGAGCATAAATATCACCTACAAAGCAGTACCTAATACAAGCAACAATGGAAGATTAATAATTTCCTGTGGTGATTTACCATAATGGGTATTCTATCTTTAAGGAGAATGAATAATATTATAAATATTTAATAATATGTATTCAAATCAGTATTAATTCAATATTATAAAATAAATTATATCATAATCAAAAGTATAAAAATGAATAAATCCTGTTCTATACATTGTCTATAAATATTCAATAAACTACATGTAGTAGGTTTAGTCATAAATTATTTAATCAAACAATTATTTTTTAAAGCATCAATAATGATCTTATTGAATAATCATTTAATAAATATGATAAAAATATTTTATAGAATTATCAAAATTATTATACATTAATTATATCTTCAATCATATCAATACATCAAATTTTATTTAATGTAGTAATATATTATGTACTTTTTTAAATACTTAATAATAACAAATACTATATCTAATCATATACATAGTTTATATTATAGATATTTATAACATTAGCAACCTCTAATTTGAACATTATGTTATATTTATACATCATCTATTTTGTTATGTTGTACAATCAATCATGAATTAATAAATTTATAATATATGTAAAAGTTTAATTTAAACATAATAGAGAGACACATTTATCATCTAGTCAAATATATTATTATATTTATGATTTATTCCATTTATATTAAGATACCAATTTTTAATTTCATAATTATCTATACTTTCAACATTATTCTCAAACTCAAAATTTCAATAATTGTTTCTACTATCTAATTATTGTATTATAGGTAATTAGTTATATTTCGTAAAATCTTGGCATTTATCAATATTTCAATTACATAAGACATTCTTTTAATTTTTAAATCATTCTGTCTCATTTTTATAATCAGTCCAATTACTTATATCTATACAATCAAATCCATCTCATGAACATTACTTTGAAACCTATTAACAATCTGTTATACTCTGAATAGTAATATGAAGAACAATTTGAGAATTGTTCACAAACTTTATTTATTCATGCACAAAAAACTATCGATAGACATTCAGATTCTATAAATGCATTACAATATATCATAATAAATTAACCATATCAGATTTATTAGAATTGATGACGCATTTTTCTAAATTTCATTTATAATTGTTAAATTGATTCTAACAATCTGTTTATGATTGAAATTATTCGAATTTGCATTATTGTATTTGATATAGTAGATGTATTAAGTAAGATTAATAAGTTAAAGATTATTGCTAGTTTAAATTTCATTTATTTATAATCAAACAAATCCCAATTCTTTTTCTGAATCTTGAATTCTATCCTCTAGTACAATAGTATTTTATTGCAATTTGATTCTATCTTAATTGATTTAATCCACTTATTGTTTTAAGAATTAATGCTATTCTAATTGTAATGCATTCTACTCATGAAACTCCTGCATTAATCTTCGATATTCCTCATTCAAATATTTATTCGAATCATCAAATGAATCTGTTGTTATTTATGATAACTCTATCAAATTATTACGCAATTATTCCTTCTCTTTCTTCACCAACTCTAATTCATCCATCAATTACTGTAACAATTACTACAACTAATAAACCTATTTACATCCAATCTCTATAAGTGATTCTTCACTGGCATTCTCATTGCAAACTCTTCCTAATCAAATTGCCCTTAATCCTAGAAATCACTATTATAAGCCATATTATATATATATATATATTAAACAAATAATCAATACTACTCTTAATTTCTTATACATCAACAAAAAAAATATGCTAAATTTATTGAATATAGATTCTTGATCTAATAGTATGAATCTACAATCATCAAAACTAATTCAAAATTTATTTTTCAATTCTCTCAACATCTTATTTTAATTTCATTTCTTATTAAATATAATCCTCTAATCATAATTATCTTGTTTTTATATATATAATTCTTTTATTAATCCAATACTATAAGTTATTACAAATAGTATTTTTAGAGAAATCATAGTTTGAATTTTTTAAATTACAATTTTAATTTCAGATTTTATTGAATGAATCATAATTCAATGAGGAAGAATATCTAAAAAAATGATTTATTTATTTTCTTTCTACAAAATGAATTCACTTTCTTTTAGATTATATACTTTATATTCTAAAAACAGGTTGAAAAATTAACAAATACCATAATAATCTATTCAGTCATTTTGATTTATAACCTATACAATATTATATAGTTAATATTATAATAATACACAAAGTTCTTTCAAAGTTTACACAAATATAAACTAAATTGATGAACTATTTATTATACTTAAATAATTTTAATGACTAATATATAAATTAAAAAAAATAATAATAATAATGGCAGCAACATAATAAGAATTACTCTAACAACTCTATGATTTAAGAAATGAATTCAATGAGTAATTAAAAAAGGTTGGAGCAGGTTCTGAGGTAAATTCACTAAATAATTTCAAGAATTAAGGAGAAATAGCTACATTGCAAGATCAAAATAGAAGATATGCTTATAGAATTGGTCATTTGACAAAGGCTATTGATGAATTGATTCAATCAGAAGTAATAATATAAATATTATTCTAGAATCAATTACGTACAGAAAATGCCCAATTAAAAGCTAGAATAGCAGAATTAGAAAAAAAATGAATAACATTAAATATATATATATTGAAAATAGACCTTCTATTTTTAAATAAATACAAGAGAATATCCAACTTATATTTATATTTTATCATTCTCAATAATTTTAATTACATATTATTCTTTCTTTATAATATGAACATCATAAATAAAGATTAATTTATAAAATAATAATAAAATTTTCTTTATCAGAATAATTATTACTTCTAAAATATATTTGCTTAAAAGGTAATTAAGTGTTAATTAATTAAATTTATTTTTATTTATTAGACAGGAATTTTAAATATTCTTTAGAAGAATAGGAAATTTCATTTTATGATTTAAGTAAATTTTCTAAAACTATTAATTATTTCTAAAACTATTATTTATGATTTGTATTAAGAAAAATCTACTTTTCCATGACTCATTTTAAGTTGAGTTTCTATCTGATCGTATAAGATTATCCAATGTAGAAACATTAAATATATAGTTTAGCCCAAGAAAATGGTTCAACACACTATAAAACTACATGGTAATTCAATTATTGAATGGAAATTGTCGAAATGTTAATCAAAATTAAGTGGGTTTGGAATTTTAGTGAATGGTTAATTAGAATATTTCGAGATGGATAAAATTCATTTAGAACTATTCAAATAGTTTCTGGATGCAAAAATTTCTTATCAAAATATACACAAAATATATTAGATGATATCATTTTGTGGAAGAGGAAGTTATGGACATGTAAATTTTGTTGTTATTTATTATAGGTATTTAAATATCAGAATCGTTTAAATGGTGAATATGTAGCATGTAAATCTTTGAAGATAGGACGTACAAACAATTATGAAGTAAATATTAGATAGATTTGATTAGGACTTTATGATAGAAGTTAAAGCATTGTAGACTTTAAAACATCCAAAGATAGTTAAGATGAAAGAATATTATGTGGAGAGTAAACATTTTTATATAGTTATGGAATATTTGGAAGGAAAATCACTTAGAGAATTATTGAGGTAGAGAATTCTGAAAGACTAAGAAATCATTTTAATTTTAAAAGTAAATATCTATTTTATTTTAGTAATTATTACAATGTATTAATTATATTCACAAAGAAGGGTATGTATATAGAGATTTGAAATAAGAAAACGTTTTATTTGCAGAATCTGATAATTTAGAAACTTTGAAATTGATTGATTTTGGGATAGCTGTGATAAAGACAGATTTAATAAAATAAACTAATAGAGTTTGTGGAACACCTGGATATATGGCACCTGAAATGATGAAGACTTAAAGTTTATATGATGAAAGGATTGATATATTTGGATTGGGAGTTCTATTATGGGAAATGTAAATGATTTAAATTTTATAATTAATAGGATTCATAATTGTAGATTTTTTGAAGGAACTAATTTAGAAGATGTATATAGATTAAATGAGGAATATGAATTTTGTATAGAATATACACAAAATATTGAAAATCCAATTTTGAGATATTTAGTAGAAAGGATGTTATAGCATAATCCAGAATAAAGAATCACAATAATTGATGCTTTAAATTATTTGAATCGAGTAGATATAAATAGTTGTGAATACATAAAAGATTATGACAATATTAGTACAGATTGAGAATGGAGAGAAAAAGAAATATATATATATTTGTTTGATTATACAATTTATTATTATTTATATGTATATATTTTGGTCTCATTCTTTAATTTAATACTTTTTTCTCATTTCAAAGTATTTTCTATAATTTTAATCTCTTGATCTTGAGACAACGATATCTTTGGCCAATAAATAAGAGTAAAACATCTAGGTAAGTGGCATTCCTTAACGAGCTAATCTATCAATATGCTATAAAATATATACTTATCATTATTGTAACCAGTATTAATTAATCCACTTCCTTCTGAATTCTTACCAGCTGTCAATAAATAATATTCTCTTTTTTGTATTTGGTCTAAGTAGGATATAGTGAACAGATACTTGATTCCATTTTATATTTATATAATGTTCCAATTACTCCAAGACCAAGCATTGTTGTAATGATTCTACCTTTAGGTTATCTGATTCTATAAGTCTTCCAATAAATATAACCAAAAGGGTTTTTAATGAATCTGAAAAAGTTTTTAAAGAATCTCCTTTTATTACCACGATCAATAAATTTTTTTTGCATCTAATTGTTAATATGGATAGTACTCTAAATTTCTCCATTTCCCAATCATATGCCTTTCCCATAGATCTCCAAATCATTTCCAATCGTTCTCTTTTATTTGGAGCATGATAATAAAGATAATGTTATCCAAATGTACGCATTTTTACATCAGCATCACCAGTTGATTAATCTCTGATCCAAATATAATCCTATTACATCTTCTCTTGAGAATTGGCCATTTTAAATCTTATTTATTATTTAATTAATGCATTAAGAATTAAACTGTCCTCGTTGTGAGATTTCATTTGATATATATGATCGTACACCATAAATGCTACCAAAATGTGGTCATTCTATGTGCATGCATTGTCTTAGAGAACAAACTAAAATAATATGTCCAGAAGATGGGTAAAGCAGTAGCTCTAATTTCTAAGAATTGTTTAACCATAAGATTTGAATCTCTACCCAGTCAATTAAGCCATTTTGAAAATAATCAATAAGTCTAGTCTAAAGAACTCATAAATAGATTCTACAGAGTTAGGTGAAACTGTGAGACTTTCAAAATGTGAAAATTTCTTTGAAATCATGGAATCTACATCTCTCTGTAAAGAACATAACAAGAAGATTGAATTAGTATGTCTAGAAGATCATAATAAAATCTGTGTAAATTGTGCTTTATTTGGTGGACATAAGCATCATAATGTTAGAAATATAGATGTATAGAAATCTAATCTATTTTTAAAAATAGGATGTCATTTCAGAAATATAGCATTCCCTTGAAGAAACTGTAGATTTGATGTAGCAAATTCAATCCAAAATTAAATCTCTAAAATAACCAATTATCAACAAAAAGATACGCGACTAAATAAGGGTTTGCATCAAGTAACAACAAACCTTAGCTGAAGAATAATTCAAAGTATACTTATATCTCTATAAAATTTAAGGAAATGATTACTCAATTAATGATGAAGTAGCGTAAAGTAGTTGAAGAGATTGAATAAAAATATAAATAAGTAGAAGATCAATTAATCAAAAGGGAACAATAATATGTCAATTAAGTAGTCGAAAAAGCAGACTTATGGATGTTAGCGTAATTCTTATATAATTATATTAGTTCTTAAGAACGTATCAATTAATTTGCATCTTTGACTGAAAAAGGAGAAATAGCTTTCTTCTTACTCTAAAAGGATACTTCAAATACTTAAGCAAAATAAATTATTGAAGAATTAGAAGATTTTATGAAAAAATTTTAAACAAGATTGTAAGAAGTAACTCAAGGATAAATTACTCCTTAAGTGCATTTAAGTAAAGATTTAATGGGAAATTTTGAATACAATTATCCTTAAGTACAATAATCATTTTTTGATGATCCTAATATCTTGAGAGATGTATCTATGATTGATCAAAGTTTTTTAAAGGATATTGATGATAGACCTCCTCATAATGAATTTTTGACACATAATTTATTAAATCCTCAACCTTTATATCAATCTCAATCTGCTCTCTAATCATAACCTTCATCTAACAATATTTCATAAAATGCTATTAGTCCTAATTTAGAAAAAAAATCATCAGATATTTTGATATCTCCAAAACTTAGAAGACAATCTTCAATGTCTCCTAAAAGACCAACTAAAAAGAAATTTAATACAAAAGTAGAATCAATTCTATTAAATTGTAATGGAGATACTTTAGATCTATCTTAATAAGGTAATATATGTGATATAATATATATATAGATTTAGGAGATGATGGAATGATTCTATTAGAAGAATTTATAAAAAATAAAAAATTAAAGATTTTGAAATTAATGAGAAACAAAATTAGTGATACTGGAGCATGTAAATTATTAGAATTACATTGTTAAATATTACATCTATAATCTAATGTGATTACAGAAAGGTTTTTAGATTCAATTTAGT